AGTATCCTTCCCCTGCCACACCCACCAAGCCACACCCACCAAGTCACGCCACACCCACCAAGCCACACCCACAGAACCGGTAGTAAAAAAAATTGAATACCACCTCTGGGACAATGGTGGGCACTGAGATGGGAATGGCCAATCTGATCACTTTCCAAACTAGCTGGACATTATTCCATCAAGGGTCATAATGAAGACCAGACTTTGGCCGGATTTATTATTATTATTTACATTAATTGGCTGCCCAACTCCAGTGGCTCTTTTATAGGATACCCTGAGCCACAAACCAGCCAACTATGTTATCTCACAGTGTGTTGTGCAAATTTAGGGAACTGAGCAAGATTCAGTGAATCCTAAATAAGCATATCGTACATACATTAGACATCAGTTCTGCATCTATGCAAACATTGCTGCTTACATCTATTTGGAATGGGGTGCCAGCCCATTTGATTGGCATGCCTGGAGATCTGTAATTATGAAAAAAAGGGAAAGTGCCCCATCTCCCCTTTCCACACCTATCATTTTTATAAAGCTGTCTAATATCCTCTTTGTCTTCCCCCAGAATCTTTTTGTTTGCTTTTCCCAAAGCAGAGGTAGAAAATCTGGAGTCAGAGCGCCATTGGCTCTTCCTTAGCATTTCCTGCCTGTAACACAGCCAAGCATGCATCTGTGTATTGGCACATGTTCATATACAGCCCTATCTAATCAGCTCTTTCTTATTCTAGGGCTATAGGATCTGATTTCTGATAGACTACAGCAGAGGTTTCCAATGCTGGCTGAGGAATTCTGGGAGTTGAAATCTAGAAATCTTAAAAGTTGCCAAAGTTGGAGACCCCTGGACTAGAGTATCCCAAGTCCTGCCCTCCACTTGTCCTGTCTGACCAGTAGAGCCCCTCCAGCCTTGTTTTCATGTCTCTCTTTCTTAGTATTTAAATTTTTATTAGTATCTCAAAATATAAAATACAAAGAGAAATAAATGTAAAGGGACAGTAAGAGGGGCGGGGGAAGGAAAAGGAAAAAGTGTAAGGGAAAAAAGAAAGAAAAGCATTGACTTCCGGCTCTTCTTAACACAGATAGAATAAAGTCATAACCATGTCTGTAACAAAATAAACCTACAGAATCAACAAAACTCAAAGTTTTATGCGTTTTTGTCCTTTTTTAGTTCACATTTTTAATGTTTTTTTAAAGATAATTTCTCTATTCTAGCGAGTTTTTGACAGCTCAAAAGAGTGACCAGACTGTTCATATTTGACAGGAGTTCAGTTGTGGTATTAAGCCAGAACCCCTTTATTACAGCAACAAACCTCAAGATTACAGTAATATATTTTCCTTCTTTAAAAAAAAGTTTAAAAAGTGTAACATATTTGAGTGGTCAGTGTCCGTATTTTATTTTTAAAAAATGGTCTAACCCCTCTAAATTTCACTGATCTATGTGCAGTGCAAAGGTAGACATGAGGGAAAGGATTGTCTTTCTGCAACTCTCGTTCTTCTCCTAGAACACAGAACATAGAATAATAGAGTAGGAAGGGACCCTGGAGATCTTCTAGTCCAACCCCCTCCTCGAGCAGGAGACCCTACCAACCAGACTACTGGTTGTCCAGTCTCTTTTTGAAAGCCTCCAGTGATGGAGCACCTACAACTTCTGAAGGCAAACTGTTCCATTGGTTGATGTCAGGAAATTGTCAAGAAATTCCTCCTTAGTTCTAGGCTGCTTCTCTCCTTGGTTAGTTTCCGGTCATTTTTTTCCTGCCTTGTCTTTTGGTGCTTTGGAAAATAGTTTGATTCCCCTCATCTTTGTAGGACCCTTCAAATATTGGAACAGTGCTATGTCCCCTCTAGTCCTTCTTTTAATTAGACTAGAGATACCCAATTCCTGTAAAAGTTCTTTGTATGTTTTGCCCTCCCTTTTTTACCCTCCCTCCCTAATCTTTGTCCTCTTTCCAGCATCTTTTTTGTATTGTGGTGGCCAGAACCGGATGCAGTATTCTTCGCGTGGTCCTCCCTAACCATATCATGAGAGTGACCATTCACTCCTACCAGACAACTCTAAATTATGGCAGAGGCTGCCATAAAGAATGCAATTTGTTTTTAAAAGGAGAATTCGGGAAGATAAGAGATTTCTTATCATTCTTAAGCATGCTTTTGCTCCAAATTATATGTGGGAGGTGGGGAGGGGGGGCAAATTATGGAGGCATTTCACATTTTGCTGTTGGCAGTTAAGATAAACTTTGCAGGAGATGAACTGAATTATAAAATTGACCTCTGAAGAGGTTGGCTTCTCTGCAATTTAGATAAGACTGGCAGTGGAGGAAGGCAGAGCCAGCCAAAAGGCAATTAACTGCCGAATATTGTTCAACAGTAATGATCTTGATTAGGTGTTTGCTTTTGCTGTCTGGCTGGAAATGTCTAAAATAATACTTGGCATGCAGTGGATGAGAAGGGATAATCCAAACATTGCCAAGAAATGTGAGAAAGAGTTCATGAAACAAATGAAGAATTATTAAGAAATCTACCTTCATTTTCAAAACTATCCATGTTGGATACAGCCCAAATATACTTGTGTTGATGATTGAAGAGTATATATAGTGGGATCAGAATTAGCTTAGTGTTTTAGTGATGATACAAATCTTTACAAAACTTTTGGTCAAAGATATATATATCCATCCTGAAGTCAATACAGTTTATCATGGTTCTGTACAACTGGTGACTTTATTAAACTGGTAATATTGTGTGCTGCATAATATTATGAGTTACAACTTGTCATGCAACTTTTAATTTAAAGCTCTTTATTTTGTGGCTTTATAATTGTTAATATAATTGTGTAATTACATCCATTTTATTCTGTGTTTGTACTGTTTTTAATTATAAGTGCTTTATATAAACTGCTCCTACTGCTGTCAGGGGTGATAATGGCAAAATAGCTTAAACATTTATTACTATCTTTGAGATATGATCAATGAATACAAACTATCTTGAAAGTGGATTTACAAATGACAGGCTACAAAATAAAGATGCTACATGGATACGCTGGACATACAAAAGAAATCAACTGATATTTAAATAATTAAAAGTAATATGCAGATAGTAAACCAAGAGAATAACCTGGATAATTTTCCTGTGTTATATTTATAAAAGTGGCTTGTGAGATTCTTCAAAACTCTAACAACTAGAGGAAATGTGTGAAATCAAAATCAAATATAAACTGGAATTCTTTTTACTGGGAATTAATATAGAGAGATATAATAAAGATATGATGTACCTAATAATACATGTGATTATGGCTGCAAGACTAGCCTATGCTCAAAAAATGGAAGCTTAAGGAAATTCCACATGAAATAGAGATAATTAAAAAGATATGGACATGCGCAGAAATAGATAAATTAACACAGGAATTAAAAAATAAAGATGAATCTGAATATTATAAAGTATGGGAAAAGTTTTATCACTGGTTGGGAAGAAGGAAGGACTCAAAATGTAAAGCAAAATAAGATAAGGATATTAAAAGGATACATTAGGATTAATTAAGAATTGTTAATATTGATGTATATACAGTATTATGTACATACTATGTAAATATGTATTATTTACCATACGAAACAATTATGTAAGACAATTAGGTGTGTCAGAATGATTACACCACGTTCAATGTTTTTAAATGTTTCTTTTTTTGTTCAATAAAAAAATATTCTAAAAAACTCTGACAACAAACCATTTTTAAATGTTATTATGGGGGTATTTTAAGTGATTCATATATATGGGGGAAGAAACATCTTATATGTTTGGTTGTGAATTCATCTCACAAGTGTGGAGGAAGGCATATGAACTTGTGTTCACTGTGGGGCAGTGAATTTAGTTAATCTGAAAGTCTGGATTACTTAGGTAGGTGTTAGATCACTTGCAGGCTGATCATCCAATAAAGGGGTTTTGTCCAGGATGGATATAGGTCACAGAATGATTTTAGCTGTAGTTGGCTATAGTAGCATTTCATAACAGTTTATCACTGGGTAATAATTTGGTCTTACTTTGTGTTTTATATCTACGAGAAGGTATTGTTAAAGCATTTGATTTATATCTGTTATAAATATATCTTTTAACTTTGGGGTCTTTTGGTTTATATATCACACTAAGTCACGGTGTATTTATTTATGGAATACTGCATAAATTAAACTTAAACATGGCTGAAGGGCTACAATGGCTACGTTCACAAAGCATGCTAAATTGAAACCCATCTAACTAAGCCCATTGCATCCTAGGACCATTGCAGGCAATAAATTTTATATATTCTAAATGATGGCTGAAAATGTACACATTTGTTTAAAACTTTAAATTGAAGAAAATGCCTGTGTTATAGATATATTGCTTCCATACACTCCTCAGTGTAAAGTGGATGTGATAATTGTTCACTTAGCATATGGAGAAAGAGAGAAAGAGAAACATCTGGGTCCTAAGAGAGAGAAACATCTGGGTCCTAAGAAGTTATACTACTGTGATAAGTCTATTAAGACCTTAAATTACCACCAAAAATGTGGACTAGCATAAAGTTGCAGTTTTCCACAAGAATTTATAATTTCTTATATTATTGGATTTAACACATATTTTGGAAAGGATAGCCCTAGATAAGCCAGAGTTGGGAGAGACAGCCAAACCAAGATCTATGATCACCATTTAAAGCTAATTTTGCAAGCCATAGCTTGGTCAGCTTTTGATTTAATATAATATCTAAAGTCACATTTGCCTGTGGAAGAGTCCATTGCTTAGGAAAATATGCCGGGTTTCTCAAAGAAAATGGAGATTAGAACTGCATAAAATACAATTTACTTATAGTTGGGAGTGTAAGTCCCGATTAGTATTATGTCTGAAATGTAATATGTGGGGTTGCTTTTTGATTGTAGTCGAGAATTGCAGCTGCTTGTCCTCTAGGATTCATCCAGGAGTGTTGCTATTTCTCTTTGTGACTTTCTTCTCTTTTCTTCCCTCCACCTCTCCCCTACCCTCAACAGTGAAGCTTGGTGGGCTATGGGATGGATGAAGCTGAGCAGGACCAGTACGAAGCCCATCTCAAAGAGCTCTTTGACAGCTTTGATGTCACCGGCACTGGCTGTCTGGGGCAGGACGAACTGACTGAACTTTGCCACGTGTTACACCTTGAAGAAGTAGCTCCAGGAGCATTGCAGGAGACCCTTCTGCAGGACGGTCTCCCTAGGCAGGTAAGAACAGCTCTGGTGGCCTAGAGTGGAGCTCTTGCCTCGCAATCAGGAGGCTGCAAGTTCAATCCTAGGTAGAGGCTAATATTTGGAATAAACTCTCCTGCTCGAGCAAGGGGTTAGACTAGATAATCTCCAAGGTCCCTTCCAACTCTGTTGTTCTATGATTAACATACTCTCTGTAGATGGGCACAGCTGTCTTCCCCAGCCTTGGAAAATCTGGATCAGTTGCAGGGTGTTCTTGGATCCAGAGGAGGGAAAGTGGAGATTGGAATGGAAAGAGAGAACAAAGTAGAAATAATAGAAGGAAAGGTTCAGAGATAAAAAGAGAGCATGCCACGTCAAATCGTAACATCACCATACATGTACCATTGTGACTGAGTTCATAGATCAGGGGTCCCCAAACGTGGCTATGCTATATTAAAAATTGGAGGTCTTCTTGTCCAGCGGTCCCCAACCTTTGGAACTTGGAGGCCCAGCTGTGGGGGAGGGGAGGGGGGAACTGGGCTGTGGGAGCAGCAGGCCAGTGCACATGCACCTGCACACAACCCTTGCATGAGTGGTAGGCTGGTGCCAATGCGTGCAACTTGATTTGCTCAAGCAGTGAGCACACGAGTGAATACCTGCTTGCTTGCCGCTTACGTGAGCTGAGCTGTGCATGTGCATGCTCCAGCCAGTCACTCGTGCAGCCCAATTCCAAGTAGGCCACAACCGGTAGGGGCCCATGGCCTGGGCGTTGGGGACCCCTGTTCTAGTCCAACCCTCTGATCAAGCAGGAGACCTGATATCATTTCAGACATGGGGCTGTCCAGTCTCTTCTTAAAGACCTCCAGTGATGAAGCACCCACAATTTCTCAAGGCAAGCTGTTCTACTAGTTAATTGTTCTCACTGTTAGGAAGTTTCTCTGTTAGGAAGCTTCATGCTGCCCATGAAATGGCTGAGGGCGGTGATGGCGAACCTATGGCACACTTGCCAGAGGTGACACGCAGAGCCCTCTCTGTGCGCATGTGTGCTGTTGCCAGCTGCTTTCTGGTTTCTGGAATGCACATGCGCCCCGGGCAGCTGGTCTTCGCAGGCACCAGAGTGCCGGAAAACAGCCTGAAAAATGGCCAAAAAACAGACCTTTTTCAGGCTATTTTCAGGGCCGTTTTTTGGGCCCCCAAACAGCCCAAAATGGCCTGAAAATAGCCCCAAAACAGGCTGAAAATAGCCCCCAAATGGCCAAAAATCAGGCATGTGTGCATGGCCAGCTGGTCTTCAGGTTTCCGGCACTCGGCATGCACCCTTGCACAGGGATGTACGTGCATTCCGATTTGGGCACTCGGTGTCGAAAAGGCTTAGGCCATTATTGCTTTTTCAACTCTCTTGAAACCACCTGATGCTATTTGTGAATGCAATCCCACTGAAGCACAACTCACACAATAGACCTTCCTCTCCCAACCTGGCATCCTTCCTGGACTACAGTTCCCTTGCACCTTAGCTAACATAATCATACTGACCGGGAATTCTGGGAGTTGTTCTGCAACACATGGGGATTATGTCAAGTCGGGGGAAGGCTGAGATAACAGCTTTCTTATCTCCCTGAATGTATTCTTTTTCTCTCTCTTGTGTTTCTTCCATCTACATTTTCTTATTTTTCTCTCCCCATCTATCGTAATAAGCACTTAAAAGAAAGGCGAGTCCTTCCCCTTAATGTATAATTTTATGGCCATTGTGTTATGGGCCCCTAATTTATACATGGTTGGTCCTTTGTGTGAATGCTCCTGCACCTTTGTATTCTTAAACCAAATCTCCCTTAGGAAAACGAAGCCCACCCTTGCTCCACTCAAAAGCCCTTTTCTGTCTCTTCCTTTGGAATTAATCCCACTCTCGCTTTGGTCTGTGATGTTAAGAAGTGAATCTCTGGGAAGTAGCAAGAAAAGAGCTTTCTGGCTCAAAATGGACAAATCCTTTCTTGCTGAAAGGAGGGGGGAGGATTGGAGGGCTCCATCCTCCCTGAGGGAAGAGTCTGTATCTCGAAGGGCACCTGGGAATTTGCACTGTGCAGAAAAGGAGGGGGTTGGATAATGAGCAGCTCACAGTGCCTTTATTGTGTTCATCAGGGCACTGGCTCTGAATTACCCTCCTTCTCAAATGGAATCTCCAATATTATTTCCTTTTGCCGCCTGGCACTCAGAAAACTCATCACTCAGAAGTTCAATGAAGCACTATGTAATGCACTATTCAATGTACACATATAGACTGGGTGAAACCAGGCTCAATAGCAGTAACTGTGAGAGGGATCTTGGAGTCTTAGTGGACAACCAGCTAAATATGAGCCAGCAGTGTGCAGCAGCAGCCAGAAAAGCTAATGCAGTCCTAAGTTGTATTAACAGATGGATACAATCAAGATCAGGGGAAGTACTAATACCATTTTATAAAGCATTAGTAGTAAGACCACACCTAGAATACTGCATCCAGTTTTGTTCACCACATTATAAAAAAGATGTTGAGACTTTAAAAAAAGTACAGAGAAGAGCAACCAGGATGATTAGGGGACTGGAGGCTAAAACATACAACGAACAGTTGCAGGAACTGGGCTTGGCTAGTCTAGTAAAGAGAAGGGCCAGGGGAGGCATGATAGCAGTCTTCCAATATTTGAGGGGCTGCCACAGGGAGGAAGGGGTCAAGCTATTTTCTAGAGCACCTGAAGGCCAGACAAGGAATAATGGATGGAAATGGAAGAAGGAGAGATTTAACCTGGAAATAAGGAGAAACTTTCTGACAGTGAGAACAATCAACCAATGGAACAGCTTGCCCTCAGAAGTTGTGGGAGCTTCATCACTTGAGACTTTCAAGAAGAGATTGGACTGCCATTTGTCAGAAATGGTGTACGGTCTCCTGCTTGGACTAGATGACCTACAAGGTCCCTTCCAACTCTGATTATCTGTTATCACTAGCTAGTGTTGTGGAAACAAACTGAACTCTCGGTATATAGGACATCCTGCTAATACTATCACCTTTATAATTTTCTTCGTCTTTACCATCCTGAATGGCCTCTAATGAAAAAGATGAATAGGTACATGATAGGTACATAATAAAATCCATCTCTTTTGACTTCTGGGGCCATGAGGCTCATCGAGGTAACATAGAGGGGAATGAAGAATTGGTGGATGGGACAATTTTCTGTGTTTTTTGTTTCTGCCTCTTACACTATCGTCTTAAATCAGGTAGCGTAGCAACAGAAATGAGCCCCAGATCTGGCAGAGTTGCAACCAATGATGATTGATTCATCTTGTGTGCCTCTGCACTTGGAGAAACACCCAAGTGAAAACATTTGCTACCCTTTGGTGAATTTTTGGAGAAGCTGATACCCTCCCACATCCTGGTTTCCCTCTAAAGCCCCTCACATTGCAGAACTAAAGTCAAAGCTTTGGGCTCCCTCCACCCAAGAGATGATGTGGGTGAGATGCCTGGGTTTCCAGGCCTGTATTTTTTCGTACTTGTGCTTTAAATGAGGCTTGTGATATCATCTGATAACTCCTTCCAGCAACATAGTTATTTTAAGTGATTGCATTGATTCAGCTTTAGAGCAAAAATTTTCTGGGAATCTAAGCCTCCCAGTCTTGAATTGATTTTGGGTTATTTTTAGATTTCCTTCGACCATTCTTTTCCACACTGCCATTCAATTCAAGACTTTGCATGGTTGCTGCTCCTCCTGAATTCTAATTCGTGTCAGTTATCTGATTTAGCCTCTCCTAATCATTCTTCCTTTGACCAGGTTTCCCCAAGTAAAAAAATCTCATGCCCTACAGAAGCAGAACTGCCCTCCTGGAGGTCAGAATGCATCCATTGCATCTAGTGGAGCCTTTATGCTCTAGAATGAGGTTTCTAGACTGGGTTCAGGGGGACCTTAAAACCTGGACGGAACCTACGAGGGGCCTGGCAGAGAGGACTCTCAAATCTTAAATGCACAGACAGCCATCCCTTCTATTTTCACCACAATGCTGCTTTTGCCTTTACACTGTCTCTACAGCACCAGGCCCACATGTAGGGATTTGCCGCCTTTCTTTTCTATCACTCAACTCTTCCCACAAAATGACTTCCTAGTTGTCCCCAAACTCCAACAAACACTTTCTTCAGCAGCCCAGGTTTTCTAAAGGGTGGTAGAGGAAGGTGAAAGAAGAGGTGGGAGCATCTAATTTAGCAGCACAAAAATAATTATGGTGAGTTCCTCACTCCCATGTTAATATTGAATTTACAAGAAAGAGTTTGTTACTTTATTATCAGTTTTCTATCACTAGAACTTTGCCTCTTGATCTGGATTTCAGAGGGTTCTTTTTTTAACAAACAGGTCCCATAACCTGAAAAAGCTTGAAAATCCCTGTTCTAAAACAGTGTTTCTCAACCTTGATGACTTTAAGATTCATGGACTTCAACTCCCAGATGTTGGCAGTATGGGAATTCTGGGAGCTGAAGTCCACACATCTTAAAATCACCAAGGTTGAGAAACACCATTCTAGAACTATTGGAATATGTTAAAGGAGGACATTCAATATCACCTTGTCTGTCTGAATGCAGCAATTCAGACAGGTCTACTCAAACAGCTGTTGGGTTCAACAACAAGGTAAATGCTGCAGTAGCTTTGTGTAATTTAGTTCCAGAAGCTACTTTAGTTACTTTCTGTAATTTAGTTCCTCCAAATATGGTGGGTCTAATACTCTGGAATTTTGTTATGCCTGGTGGGAGTCCTGGACATTTTACTCCCAACATACCTGTGGAATTGAGAGATTTTATTTATTTATTCGATTTTGATGCTGCCAGGTCCAGAAGGATAGCTCAGTTAGGTCTCATGAAAACACTACTTGTAACTTTTTTTTTTCTTTACCTTTTTCTACTTTATAAGCTCAACATCACCTTGTGTAAATTTTGATTCATACATTTTTTAAAATGAGCCTCTCAAAGTGGAAGCTGGGCTTTTTTTAAAACTACAGAAACCCCAGAGGGACTGACATCACAAACA